TCGAGGAGATCTATGCACATGCGTAGTAGAACCCTCCGAGGGTGGGGCTGGAGTATCCGCCAGCTCAGGCACCCCTATAGTCACCAGAATGGAGGTACGCACACAGCAAGGGACCAACGAAAAGATACCAAAAAAAGAATGCCTTCGGCTCTGTCAGGCGTCCGTGGCTGCTCTGATCCTTTCCCCACTTGGCCCACACAAAATGGCAGCTCCTGGAACAGCTGAGCACCATGAACCAGGAAGCAATTGATTTCTTGCTTCTGCCACAAACTCCCAGCTGTAAGTCTTCCAACCTTCTAGATATTCCTTTATATGTGGTTCAGAGTACTGAGACCATTCCCTGAGCTTTCTTGGTCCTGTATTCTGTGTTGTTCTCGACAGAGCTCGTCACTACACTTCCACCTGATCCGCCATCTTTTTCCGGAACCAAGCCATGGTATTTTAAATAACCTCATATTCATGTAAAAGTTGGAAAATAAATAAGGTAGATAGTTGAAGAATTGATGCTTTTGAGTTATGGTGTTGGAGGAGAATATTGAAAGTGCCATGGGCTGCCCATAGAACCAACTGATCTGTGTTGGAAAAAGTGCAGTCAGAGTGCTCATTGGAGGCCAAGATGGCCAAACTTGGTCTCTCATACTTTGGACATATTGTCAGGAGGGACCAGTCACTGGAGAAGGATATCATGTTTGGTAAGGTGGAGTGTCAAGGAGCTCTGGTAGCATAGTGGTTACGAATCGGGCTGCTAACCTCAAGGTTGGCAGTTCAAAACTACCAGCTGTTCCACAGGAGAAAGATGAGGCTGTCTGTTCCCGTAAAGATTTACAGCCTTGGAAACCCTGTGTAGGGTCACTATGAGTCAGAACCGACTCCACAGTACTTAACAACAACAACAAGGTGGAGTGTCAGAGAAAAAGAGGAAGACCCCCAGAGAGATGGATTGGCTAAGTAACAGCACCAATGGGCTCAAGCATGGCAACAATAGTGAGGTTGGCCCAGGATCTGGCAGTGTTTCATTCTGCTGTTCATAGGGTCACTATGAGTCGGCGCCAACTTGATGGCACCTAACAACAACTATAATGGTTGTGCTGTGGGATAAAGCATTGGATCGTAAGGTCAGTTTGAACCATGAGGTTGGCCGTTTAATCTCACCAATCACTCCTGGGAAACTCCATAGAGGGTTGCTATGAGTCGGAACTGACTTGACGACACTTAATAACCACAACAACAATTGCACAATGGATTCCCAGAGTAGTGCAAACAGTCCATGAGCTCAGCTGCTAACTGAAAGGTTTGGGGTTCAATTTCACCAAGAAGTGCTTTGGAAGAAAGGTCTGGTGATCTTCTGAAAAATCAGTCATTGAAAGCCCTATAAAGCACAGTTCCTTTACAAGGTCACTATGAATCGGAACTGACCCCACAACACACAATCACCACCACCACCACTCTGAAACACATGGGGTTGCCATGAGTCAGAGTTGTTGTTGTTAAGTGCCGTCAAATCGGTTCTGACCCATGGCAATCCTACATAGGGTGTCCGAGGAGCGGCTAGTGAGTTTGAACTGCTGACCTTGAGTAGATGGCAACTGATGAATTGCACAAGTGAATGATGTCATGTTGGATAAGGACTATTTCTCTCTTATTGATGTCCTTGGTGGTGCTGTGGATTAAGTGTTGGGCGGCTAACAAAAAGACTGGCAGTTCAAACCTTCTGGCAGAAAATGAGGCTTGGGAACCCTAGATACAGTCGTGAGTTGGAATCGACTTGATGACAAGTGTGTTTGGTTTTGGATGTCCCTGGGTGGCACAAATGGTTTGCAATCGACTACTAAATTAAAGGTTGGTGGTTCTAATCTATCCAGCAGTACTATAGAACAGAGGTCTGGTGATCTGCTTCTAAAAAGATAACAGCCAAGAAAATCGTATGGAACAGTTCTAGTCCATAACATTGGGAGCCGACATGAGTCGGAATTTACTCAGTGGCAATGTGTTTGGCCTGGTTGTTGAATAAGTATGGGACTAAAGTTCTGGTAGCATAGTGGTTATGAATCGAGCTGCGAACCTCAGGGTCAGCAGTTTGAAACTACCAGCTGTTACGTGGGAGAAAGATGAGGCTTTCTGCTCCCATAAAGATTTATAGCCTTGGAAACCCTGTACAGGGTTGGAACCGACTCCACGGCACATAACAACAACAACGTTAGAAAAAGGAGCCGTGGTGGCGTAGTGGATTATGAATTGGGCTGCTAACTGAAAGGTCAGTAGTTTGAATCTACCAGCTGATTGGTGAGAGAAAGATGAGGCTTTCTTCTCTCCTAAAGATTTACAGCTTTGGAAGCCCTATACAGGGTTGCTATGAGTCGAAACTGTCTCCCCAGCTTACCACTACCACCACCACCAAAGTTAGAAAGTTGTCAGCAGGGGAATCATTCAGACAGCAGGATTTGTAGGAACAGGAAAGAGCAGGCAGGCCCTGGGGAGACAGCAGGCTCCAGGGGACCCGAGGTTTCCCTAGCATAGATGCCAGACTGGGAGATGAGTCAGGTGAGGAGGGTGTGGGGAGGAGGGTGCGGTGAGTACAGCCTGTATTTAGCTTTTGGGCACAGTCACATCACCAAGTGGTCAGGGGCCTCTTTCCACATCATGGGGTTGGGTCCCAGGGACAGTGCTGGGGCAGAACCCCTCAGGGGTCTGCAGCCTCCTCCCTTGTCCCTAGAGTGCCAGGGCATCCCCAGCCTATCCCATGCCACAGCCTGATCCTCATTTCTGAGTCACCCTTGGATGAGGTCCCGTTTCCTGTCTGAAGCCTGCTATTAAATGGGCAATTTCTGCTACTGTACTATTCTCTTGTCCCCTGGCTAGGTGAAAACTGCGGGGGCAGCAATGGGAAGGTCAGGACCCTGCTGTGGGCCAGCTCTGACTCAAACTGAAGTCCTTACTTCTTTACCCTTGATCCCACCATGACCAACCCAACCTCTATGTACCCCTCACCACCTCTCAACCAACTACTGAACTAATATAGTGCCCTGACCCTGGAGATTCCACAGATGACAGCTGAGACTCCTCCCTCCTTCAGGGCTTCTAATTTTTGGAGGAAGCTTCTATGGAAACTCACAGGCGTTGATTACTTCTTTAAACACATGTTCATTGCACAAAAGTTAAGAAGCTGTTGTTAAGTGCCATTGAGTCAGTTCTAGCTCATGGCAGTCCTGTGTGGGGTTTCCAAGGAGCAGAAGTTAAGCACTAAAAGAAGATGAGCAAAAAGAACTAAGTCATTCATGATTACACCTAGTGCGGAACACTATTTTATGTCTTCACCCTATGTACTGTTTAGTAATAAGTACTTGCACTCATTAAATACATTGTGAATATCTTTCAGATCAAAAGAACCGTTTCCACATCATTGTCTTTAATGACTGCCCATGTGCTGTGTGAGATGCTCATTTCACCAACTCTCTGTATTGGTCATCAGGACTCATTATGTAGCATGAATAATGCTTCCAGAAACATCTTCCATTCTCTTCAGCAATATTTCCGGACAACCTGCTCATCTACAAGCACCTTTCCCAGCACTGGGCACACAGAAGTTTACAAAACAGATGGAGACCTGTGTAGACACATCTCTGGGCCTATCCCTGCTTCTTCCTTTCAATGGGGAATTGCTGGGCCAGAGGGCACGCATTTGTTACATTTGGGCTCCCAGAGGATTTTGCCCTAGTGGGCCATGTATGAGAGGGCCCATTCTAATAAAGCCACCCTGGATGAAGCCCGGCATCCTCGCTGTTCCAGACTGACCAGGCAATGTGCAGTGAGCTGTCCTCAGAGGAAACTGGAAGGACAAGCCTGGTTTCTGAAGCCTGTGTGTCTGATCTTGGTCCCCTTGGCCAAGAGCTTCAGGAGATGCGTTTTCCCAGACCCAGAAGAACTGTTAGGTTTTGGCATGGAATGTGATTTTCTGAATCTCGGCCACTCTAGGTGATCCAGAGCCATTGTGTTGCCTCTCCCACCCAAAGGGTAGGCAACCCCTCCCCAGGGAAATCCTGTGAGGAGGACTGGGGAGGGGCTCCCATCCCAGGTTGTGAGGGCGGGTCTGGGCCAGACCCAGCCCCCTACCCCAGGCCTCCGCCCATGCCCTTCCTGCGCTTCGGGCGGGCACCCAGGTAGCTCAGGAGCCCAAACCTGTCCAGCCGGTTTTGAGAGCCGCGGGACCGAGGGAGGAAGGCTGGTGAAGGATGCACGTCCTGCCTGGTGCTCCGCCTGCACCCTCTGCCGCCTGAACCCGCTTCTGCCTGTCCAGCTGCCCACCCGCTCGATCCCATGACGCGCTCTTGGTGTCTCCTGCTAGCCCTTCTGGGCCTGTGTTTGGGCCTACCAGGGGTTTGGGCCGCGGACTGCGAGTCCCTTGGCCCAGCGGAGCGCCTGACATTCGCCCCGGCGACCAGGGCCCGGTGGCTGGCCCCTCGTGTCCGCGCTCAGGGGCCCTTGGACCCCCTCTATGGCACCGTGCGTCGCTTCCTCTCGGTGGTGCAGCTCAACCCCTTCCCGGCGGGTGAGTGCGCCCTTTTCCCCATATCCGTCCCTCTTGGGCTTCTGGAGGTGTTGGGTCCCCAAACAGCTTCCCCTCTTTTCCCTCAAGCATGGGGTGCACCAACTCTGTCAGCAGGGCTTGGAGTGAACGGCATTCTGCAGATCTCTACCCCCATCTTCCTTCTCAGTAGTACTTGTGTGCCCCGGGGGCCACCTGGAGACCTTGCTGTGTGACCTTGGAAAAGACTTCCCCACAGCTTCTCTGTAAAGTAGAAGAGGGTTCATCAGACATTCCCAAAGACCTGGTGGACACCTTCTCTGGCTCTAGGGGTGCTGAGGGCTGGGAGGACCAGGAGGGACTGCTGGACCCCTCCCAGCCTTGTCTTCTGCCCCCTTGAGGGGAAGGGCTGCTGGGTCAGGCCCCCCTTTCTGCTTTTGTGCAGTCTAGTGATTTCTCAGACTCCTGGTGTGGAGCTGTAGGATAAGTACTGGATTGTTATTTGCAAGGTTAGTGGTTCAAACCCACCAGCTGCTCCTTGGAAACCCTATACAGGGTGCCTATGAGTTGGAACAGACTCCAGGTCACTTAATAACAATGAAGAGGCTTCCTAGCTGCATGGCCTACCTGTAGGGTTCAGGAAGTCTACCAGACCTCCCCTCAGCCCCCCTGCTGCAGTTGCACTGACACTGCTCTCTGAAGGTGCCATGTGTAGGAGGAGCCCTCCCAGCACCTACCTTGACCTGGTGTAGGATGTTAAACACCGGGGTGGGGTAGTCGCTGCTCCTGAACCCCTGTTTCTTTCTGGTAGAGTTGGTAAAGGCCATACTGAATGAACCGTCCTCCTGGAAGGTGGATGAGGTAAACCCTGGGGGAAGGTACTGGGGGAGGGAGTTTAGGGATGAGCTTGAGGGGTTGGTTGGTTGGTTGGTTGGTTGGTTATGTGTCATGGAGTCACTTCTAACTCAGAATGACCCTGCACAGGGTTTCTGAGGCTGTAAATCTTTATGGGAGCAGAAAGCCTCATCTTTCTTCCGTGGAACAGCTGGTAGTTTCGAACTGCTGACCTGAAGGTTCGCAGCCTGATTCGTAACTACTACACTACCAGAGCTCCTTGAGCTTGAGGGGAGGAAGTAGAAAAGCCCAGCCCAGCCCACCTGGTTGATTGTGCCAGACTGGGGGTCTCGGGTTGGCATCTTTTCTCCTCTTCCATGAGTATTGAGGTTGGCAGGCTTGGGTTCAAACCAGAATTCTGCCCTTTACTGGCAGTGGGGTTTGCAACGAGGCCTTAATCTTCCTGAACTTCAATTTCCCCATTTATCTCATGAGAATTAATAATAAGGACTCTGTCCACCTCTTGTGAGAGCTTGGCTGCATGCAGATGCATGCAAAGGATTTGTCACTTTTGTGTTCCCTGCCCTTTTGGGTGCCCTCTGGAGTAGGAGGGCACAAGTGTGGGACTCAGGGCAACCCCTCACACCTTGCTGCCCTGCCCAGGTAGTTCGGTATGAGGCTGGCTACGTAGTGTGTGCTGTGATTGCTGCTCTCTACCTCCTGGTGGTGCCCATCACCGGACTCTGTTTCTGTTGTTGCCGCTGCCGCCGGCGCTGTGGAGGCCGTGTGAAGACCGAGCACAAGGCAATGGCCTGTGAGCGAGGCACCCTCATGGCCTTCCTGCTGCTGACCACCCTCGTGCTGCTGTGAGGGGCTGCCCGGGGCAGGTGGGAGGGTGGGCCATGGCCCACAGTGCTCATGGGCACCCAAAAAGCTCCTTTCTCCTCTCCTGTGTCCCTACAGAATTGGCTTAGTCTGTGCTTTTGTCACCAACCAGCGTGTGCATGAGGAGACGCGCCCCAGTGTTGAGGCTGTGCCTGAGACTCTGCTCAGCCTCCGGGGCTTGGTCTCTGATGTCCCCAAGGTGAGCCCGATTAACCCAACTCACCCCTTGAGCACCAGGCCCAGAAAGCACAGAGCAGCATGGGTCCCCTGGTGGCCCATAGCAAGCTGCTGTGCAAGTTAGAAAGGGGCACCTTCCTCCCTGCACCTGACTGCCACCTGGTGGTAAGTTCTGTAAATACACCTGTGGTGTCCTCAGGATGAGGCACTGGCATGGCCTTCCTGCTATGTGAGAGGCCATGGAGGGGACAGTGGAGGGGGCAGGCTGTGGGTGAGAGGGAATGGCAGCATCATGGTCCCCCTGTGTTTGCCTAGGAGCTGCAAACTGTGGCGCAGCAGTTCTCCCTGCCTCAGGAACGAGTCTTGCAGGAACTGGATGGTGAGGGAGACAGCTGGATGGCCAGTTGGCTAGCCTTAATGGCCCCTTGCTCAGGCCTGCCTTGGGGGGGCCCTCTCACTCCCTTGCCCTTGACTCCCCCTGGGATGGGCCTCTGATGGAGCTCATTCCTGGGGCCGGGGATGGCTGGGGGTTGTGTTGGGAGGCCCCTTAAGCTCCCGGAGGACCAATCCAACAGACCACCTCTGCTCTCCAGGTGTCGGTGCAAGCATAGGCAGTGCGATTCACACCCATCTCAAGAGCACGATCTACCCAGTGCTGGCCTCAGTGCTCAGCCTGGGCCATGGTGAGCCCAGCCCCGTCCAGTGTAGGTGTGGGCTGAGCAGGTGTCTTCCTGGAGGGCAGGCCCCACCCTCAGTCAGCCCTGGATTTCTTGTGCTGCATCTGCCAGCCCCACCCAGGACTTTCCATTTGCATTATTCCCGGCTCTCAGACCCTGTGGCATTCCGGCCACAGCCTGATTAACCTGCCCTGGGGCGATTTCCTTTGTAACTAACAAGGCTTAATGAGTGCATCCCTTCCTAGGGTTGGTGAAAGGGGGTATAGTGGGAGGGTTCTGCCTTCCCCCAGGCTCTGAGGTGTGGGTCTCTTAGCCCTGCAGGTCTCTGTGGACCATCTCCAAGTCCTGAATGCCACCTCGGTGGAGCTGCGAAGGGGACAGGAGGAGCTGGAGCCAGCCATAGTAGAGCGTCGAGAACAAATCCTGACCCTGCTGCAGGGACCTGGCTGCCAGGGTTGCTCAGGGGTTGTGAGCCAGGCCCGAGCCCTGGAACTGGGCGCTGACTTCAGACAGGTAGGTATAGGCCCAGCACAGAGGCCTCTAGGAGGTAAAGGAGGGTGCTCGCCAGGACCCCTGAGCACCTGAGTTTCCTATAGATGAGTGTCTCCTGACTTTCCTCTGACTGCTCCTTGTTGTTCCTCCCAGGCCTCCACTCACCATCATGATGGGCATGTCAGCAGCCTGTCACAGCTTCTCTTTCTGCCCTGCCCTATACATGAGCTCCGTGAGCTCTCAATACCACCCAGGGTAGTAGGCTGTGCTCTGAGGGTCCCCTCCCACCCTCCCCTAGGGGTCCCTTTTACGTCTCTTTGTGGACTTTATAATTATACCCCCATTTCAGGTGCCCTCTGTGGACAATGTCCTGCATCGGCTGAAGGGTGTCCCAGAAGCCAACTTCTCTGCCATGGTCCAGGAGGTGAGTATCCCTGTTCCCTGCCATCTACCTCCCACTTCTCCTAACTACCTAGGAACTCAGTTTCCCCCTTTTGAGGTTAGGAACCCAGTCAAACCTAAGACTTGGGTCCAATCAGGGCCTCATCTACTACCACCTGGGCTGGAGGCTCTTTAAGCCCACCTTCGGAGCATACAGTCTAGTCGGGCAGGCAGGCAGACAGCAAGTTTGGAGCCCAGAAAGAAGCCAAAGCCTTCAAGGGATTGGGGGTGGGAAGGAAAGGGGGCATTCAAGCTGAGCTCTGGAGGAGAGGCAGGCTGTGTGTAGGATGGAGGGTCCAGTATCAGTTAGCACCTGTGACACAAGGAACGGAAAGTGTCTGGCATGGGGGAAATGGTGAGTCAGCTGTGCTGGGTGGCTGGCGCGGAAGGTTCACGGAGGAAGGAGGTAAAAGAGGAGGCTGGTAGGGTGGGCTGGACCTGGATCACAGAGACCCTTGACTACCACTGAGGAATGTAGGTGTTCCTCTGGGAGGAGTTAGTGGAAGGTTCTGAGCAGTGTGGAAGTTTGCTGCAATGGTCTAGGCAAGAAGTGATGAGGGATTGAAACCAGGAGTCATGTTTTGGGAAGCTGGACTGGGAGAGGACAGTGACCAACAGAACAAATGGAAGCCTGTTCTTTCTACAGAGGAAGGATCCCTTGCCTCTGGGTCTGGTGGTTTTGGGGTCCCCTAAGCTGGGGAACCAGGGTGGAGGGTGGAACACAGCCCTGTTTGGTTCCTGCAGGAGAACAGCACCTTCAATGCCCTCCCATTCCTGGCTACCATACAGACTGCTGATGTGGTCAAAGGTGAGGCCCTGTTGTTTCACACCCTGCCGGGAGGCCGTGTTAACAAAGGAGTCGGGCAGGGGTGTCTCCTGGGGGTTTCTGGGGTTGGGAGGTGACCCTCTCTTTGGATCCCAGATGTTCTTCCTGCCTGTATCTCTTCTCCCCTGGCCTGTGGGAGAACTCCCCATCCCATAAACACCCATTGCTTTGGGCAGAGTTGAAGAAGGCAGTGGCTCAGGAACCCCAGGGCTTCAGTACACTGGCTGAAGCATTTCCAGGCTCAGATGCTGCCGCTCGCTGGAGCCAGACCTTGGAAGACGCAGAACAGAGTAGCCGCTCTTACCTGCAGGAGGTGCAGAGATACGAGAGATACAGGTGCCTGGGAGCCCATGTGTGGGTGGTGTGGGCAGCTGAGCCTCTCAGCTGCTCTAGGCCCAAATTCCAGCTCTCAGTTGTACTGAGTCTCTGCTTCCAATTAAGCCAAGTCCCCTTACCCGTCAGGACTCCATGCCCCTCCTGTCTATGTGCCCTTGGGGCCTGGGCCTGTGGAATCTATAGGAGCAGTGAGGTTCAGGAAGTATCCATACTTGCACTTTTAATGCCCTAGTCTTGGGACCAGTGGTCTCACCCAGCCCCCACTCACCCCTGTATGTCTCTCACCAGCCCACCTCATGCCCACCTGCCTGCCTTCACTTTTCTGACACCCTCACCCTCTCTGTGGCAGGTGGATTGTGGGCTGTGTGCTGTGTTCCATGGTCCTGCTTGTTGTGGTCTGTAACCTGCTGGGACTTAGCCTGGGTATCTGGGGGCTGTCTACCAGAGAGGACCCCAGCCACGCAGAGGCCAAGGGCGAGACCGGAGCCCGCTTCCTCATGATGTAAGAAAGGGCTGGGAGAGGGTAGGAAACTTGCCAGATTCCTCTCCCTCCCACAGACAGTCCTGGTATGGCTACAGAAATAGTGTTCTGGGCTCTGGTGCTGGCTTGTATACCAACTCATTAAGTGACTTTGGGTGAATTGTTGATCCAACTGGGTGCCGATGTCTTCATCTATATAAAAGGGTTGTATTAGAGCTAACCCCATTGCTCTTGAGTTGATTCTGACTCGTGGTGACAGGCTGTAAATCTTTACAGGAGCAGAAAGCCTCATCTTTCTTCCACAGGACAACTAGTGGGCTTGAAACACCAACCTTGTAATTAACAGTCCAGTGCTTACCTGACAGCACCATCAGTGATCCCATACAAGTATAATGTTATTGTTGTTGTTGTTAAGTGCTGTTGAGTCCATTCAGGCTGATAGTGACCCTGTGTAAGGTTTCTCAGGCACAGCTGTTGGGTTTGAACCACTGACCTGGCAATCAGCAGCCTCGTGCTTATCCTACAGTGTCATACCAGAACTCCCCCAAGTATAATGTTATTGTTGTTAAGTGCCATTGAGTCAATCCTGACTCATAGTGAGGACCCTGTACAGGGTTTCTGAGGAGTGAGCGGCTGGTGAGTTTAAACTGCTGACCCGGCTGTTCAAGCTGAACTTGCGGTCCAGTAGTTATCCTACAGAGCTACACCAGGCCTCCATAATAAAAGGAATGAAAAAACCAAACCCACTGAGTCAATTCTGACTCTTAGCAACCCTGTACAGGGGTTACAAGTGCAGAGAGCCTCATCTTTCTCCTACAGAGCCACTGATGGGTTTGAACTGCCGACTTTGAGGTTTGCAGGCCAGTGCTTATCCTACAGCACCAATGGTAGATAAAGACCGCTTCCCGCTTTCACACCAGTGCTGACTGCACGAATCAGTGAGCACTCTTTCCCACTGAGCCCAGACACAGCCTGAGAATCCTTCTCAACCCAGCATCCACATAGCACCACCAATGACAGGCAGCATCAGAGGTGGCGTGTGGTCTCTAAGGCCAGGGCTGCCACATTACAGTTGTGCAGGCTGCTCACTGCACAAAGGCGTATGACCAAAGTGGCAGGTAGGGTCTGAAATACAGCCTATGTTTCATATCCAAATCTCCAACACTCGAGTGGGACCCAGTCTCACAAAGAGGTACTCTAGGACCTTCCTGTCTGAGGGTCCTTCCTCCAGACAGCTACCTCTGCTGGGCCAGGATGGCATGAGGTCAGATATGGTGCTCTGTTGAGGGCTGGGCCCAGAGCCAAAGGTGAGCAGTCCTAACTCTTCAAGCATAATAACTGCCATGGCCAGTCAGGCACAGATCACAAGGTGGGACTGAGGTGGGGACAGTCTGCCAGGAAGCTGAGTTGTATGAATTCCTTTCTCTAAGAGGCTCTGCCCTGGGGCTGACTCTGACCATACCCTTGGATCTGAGAGGGATGGAGGGTGTGGTCCAACCTCCTCTCTCCCCTCAACCCTGTCCTTTCCTTTCTCCAGGGGTGTAGGTTTCAGCTTCCTTTTCGCTGCACCCCTCATCCTTCTGGTCTTCGCCACCTTCCTGGTGGGCGGCAACGTGCAGACACTGCTGTGCAGGAGCTGGGAGAGTGGGGAGCTCTACGAGGTGGGCCTGCCTTCATTCAGGGTCCAGGGAGGAGGGAGGTGTGGACAGAGCAACTGGGAGTTCCAGGGGCCTGGAGAGAGAGGCAGCCAAGGAGCAAAGAGGGGCAGGAGGTGTGAAGACAGAGCCATCCAGGAAGAGACCGAGAGAGAAAAGCATCAGTGGACAGGAATGGGAGGGGGAGAGAGCTCTCAGGTCCCACGGGTGCTGCAAAGGATTGTGGGGATGCTCCCAGGCCTGACCCCTCTCCTCTACTAGCACTGAGCTGGGAACTGGCTCCCCATGTGCCTCCGAGGGGCTAACTTTCACAGGTGAGCTGAGATGCTCACAGGTGAGGTGGTCATGCTGACCACTTCTAGGAAGAGACCCCTTAAGGAGGTAAGGCCCTGTGGTCACTAAAATTACAGGCTAAATTAGGGCTGGTGTCACAGGGGCGTTTCCCACTCCTGGTCTCTGCCGTGCCTAGATGGTACAGGTCCAGGCCTTAGAGGAGCCTGGTGGTCTTTCCTCTAGCTGCTTCAGCCCCCTTCTCCCCTGCCACATCACCAGTTTGTAGACACTCCAGGAAACCTGCCCCCATCCATGAACCTATCTGACCTTCTTGGCCTGAAGAAGAACGTCAGCATCCTCATGGCCTATAAGTGAGTAGACAGCCTGGGCTGGGGGTTGGGAGGGCCAGTGGGGAGGAGCCGCGATGGGTGTGCAGTCAGGGTGGCGTCAGCTCCCTACCCCCCACCGTCTTTCACTGCTCATCTTTACTTCTGGTCACTCCTCCCCAGGCAGTGCAAGGACGGGGCTGCACTCTGGAGTGTCCTGCAGCTCAATGATTCCTATGACCTGGAGGAGCACTTGGATATGAGCCAGGTAGGAGAGACTTGTGGATGGCTGTGGAGGACCCTCCTGTGGAACCCCTCCTCAGGTCTTGCCACCATGGAGACATGACTCCTTGAATCCAAGAAGTCTTCATGTCCAACTGAGGTGCCTCAGGGGCAGAGACCCCACCCACTAGTTCACGGCCTGGCCTGAAGTAAGGTTGCTGGGTGTGTGGATGGGCTGACCAGCTCTGAGCACAGCTGAGGTTGTTGTAGGAGAGAATGTGGCAGTGAGAGGACTGGGTTGTGTCTCCCGTGGAGGGGGTTGCTGGGAAAGGCGCAACACTGATAATGGTTATAATGAAGTTGAGTAATGTTGGTAGAGGGCTCGCCACAGAAGCCTTGCTTAGATCACACAGCCAGTATATGGTGGAGGCAGGATTCTACCCTACCCAGCCTGGCTCCAGAATTGGCCTTTCCCAGAACCTGGGACTAAAGAAACATGTGGGTGCTGGCCAGAGACAGTTCTAGGACAAAGAAAAGGAAGTGTTGCTTCCCAAGAAGAGATGTACTTTGAGAATGTGGTTGTCCTATGGGTATGCAGGATCTTTCCTTTCCACTCCCAAGTGAGGTGAGAGGGAGGTTCTGAAGGACCTCTCCAGTCCTAAGCTTGTCCTGAGCAAACCCACTTTTCTCCTGACACACAGAGCATGCCAACTCCTGATTATGTATCATCCCAAGGCCTGCTTTCCAGGGCGGCAGGAGGGCACTGTCTGCCTTCAAACCCCCTACCCCCCCATGCCTGGCTATACTGATGTCTGAAGCACTGCATGGACCCCTGCCTCTGAGGGGTTAGGTTTCTCCCCTCAGGGAAGGTGGCATAGCGAGAAGGGGAGAGATGAACAGAGCTGGCCTCTAGTTCTTTAACTTGCTGCAGAATCTTGGGCAAATAAATGCTCGTCTCTGGCCTCAGTTTCTCATCTGTAAAACATTTCTCATCTGTAAAACATTTCATGATCTCTAAATCTCTTCTAGAGATGGTAGGGAAATGCCTAGGGTGTCATTTTAAACTGTACTCTCCCTGGCACTTCATTCAGCTCATCCATCCATTCATTCACATATTTAACAAACTCTTATGGTTTGTTGAATGTGTGCCACACTGCAAGTTGGTAGGAAATACGCAGAAAGGTTCAGCCGGCGTGGAGCAGACTGCAATAAGCAAGTACACAAATGAACAACGTCATTTCAGAACGATGGGTGTTATGAAGCCCTTAACATTGATGTAATAGAGGGGCTGGAAAAGCTGGGAAGCCTCCAGATAGACATTGGAGGAGAGCTGGGTCTCCAGGGGTGTCCACCGTGGGGGACCCTGGATATCCTGGAGGAGGGCCCTGAGGTCTGGTGACCCTTACGTAGAGAAGCAGCCCTGGGCCCCATCTGTCCCCTCTCTCCCAGTACACCACCAAGCTGCAGCAGGAGTTGCAGAACCTCAAGATGGACTTGCAGGACCTGGACCTGCTGAATGCTGCCTCCCGCCGGGACCTGGAGGCCCTGAAGAGCAGTGGTCTTGAGAAGATCCACTCCGCGGATTTTCTTGTTCAGGTCAGCAGCGGGCAGTCAGGTGCCCCAGCCAGGCGCAGGCAGGACAGAGGGGCAACAAAGGAGCTGGGTGTGCCTAGCCTTGTCCTGGCCTCAACTTTCCCTCCACATGTGTCCCGGATACCCCATCCACAGTCCTCAAGATTTTTCCTATTGCCATTGTCCCCAGACCATATACTCTCTGGCCTGGGATCTGCCAGGAATGCCCCCACCCAACAGCAGGTACTGCTGTTCATGGTCCTGAACCCATTGGTGTGGATAAGTCTGGTCGGAAGTCGCCTACCTCCTTGAGTTAACATCAGAGGGTGCCTTGTTTTTATTCAGTTTGATAGAAAGTGCCTGATACATTTCACAGTAGCTGATATGTCACAATAGACTCAGCTGACATGGGGCACTTTTTGTGGGGATGTTGAGGGTAAGCAGAGAAGGGGTTGGAGGAGTGAGGTGTATCCCCAGCTTGGTCTCTCTTGTCTGCCCACCCCCCAGATCCAGAAGCCTGTGGTGAAAACTGAGATGGAGAAGCTGGCCCAGGAACTGGAAGGACTCGCCCCGGCTCAAGTGAGGAGAGCTGAGACCACATTGGGAGGGCAGGAATCAGAGGGAGGCCTGGGAAGCCAGAGAGGATGAGAGTGCTTGGACTGGGGAGGGGACAAGAACAAGGGATAGGGACCAAGGGTTCCCATCATAAAGGTCTGAGGCTCCTGGACTCATGTCTGAACTTGAGGGTTTTGCAAAAGCATCCATTCTGCCACTGACTGGCTGACTGACCTTGGACAAATCACTCAACATCTCTGGGCTTCAGTTTCTGCATCTGTAAAATAGAATTGTTGTTGTTGTTAGGTGCCATCGAGTCGGTACCGGCTCATAGCGACCTTATGCACAGCAGAACGAAACACTGCCCAATCCTGGGCCAACCTCACTATCATCGCCATGCTTGAGCCCATTGATTTGGCAATCCATCTCGCTGGGGGTCTTCCTCTTTTTCTCTGATCCTTCACCCTATCAAACATGATATTCTTCTCCAAAACTGGTCCCTCCTAACAACATGTCCAAAGTGTGAGAGACAAAGTTTGGCCATCCTGGCCTCCAAGGAGCACTCTGGCTGCACTTCTTCCAACACAGATCTTTTGGTTCTTTTGGCAGCCCATGGCACTTTCAATATTCTCCTCCAACACCATGACTCAAAAGCATCAATTCTTTTACGGTCTTCCTTATTCATTGTCCAGCTTTCACATGCATATGAGGTTACTGAAAATACCATGGCTTGGGTCAGGCGCACCTTAGTCCTCAAGCTGACATCTTTGTTCTTCAACACTTGAAAAAGGTCTTGTGCAGCGGATTTGCCTAATGCAGTACATACTTTGATTTCTTGACTGCTGCTTCCATGAGTGTTGATAGTTGATCCAAGAAGAATGAAGTCCTTGACAACTTCAATCTTTTCTCCGTTGATAAGATTGTTGTTTATTGGTCCAATGGTGAGGATTTTTGTTTTCTTTACATTGAGATGTAATCCATATCGAAGGTTGTGCTCTTTGATCTTCATCAGTAAATCTTTTAAGTCCTCTTCACTTTCAGCAAGCAAGGTTGTATCATCTGCATATTACAGGTTGTTAATGAGTCTTCCTCATGTGTCCAACTCCTATCTAGATGATTGCTAGTTTGAGTCCATCTTGGAAGAAAGATCTGAAAAGTCAGCTTGGAAAAGCCTGTGGAACATAGTTCTACCGCGGCACACCTGACAATGCCAGGAGTTAGAACTGACTTAATGGCAACTCCATTTTCTGAAAGTGAAACATCTTATTGTGTGTCAGATGAGGCAACAGTGAAGTTGGGCAAGCACTGCTTGCCGATTGCACTGAGACAAGTACTGGGAGGACCAAGTGATGAATCATCTATCTTAACAGTTGCTTTAAGGTGCTGAAACTCCACCAGGAAAAATTAGCATTTATATTTATAAACATTTGGAGTTTGAAGTTTATTCCAGGGTATTTCATAAACAGCCTCCATCCCTGAACAAGAACAGCCCCGCATATTTGGTAAGCAAGGAGCTGCAGCAATTCCAACAAGTGTCTCTGCCGCTCAGACAGGTTGTGATGGTCATGCAGTGATGCCCAATAGCCCCCATGCCCTCAGTTCAGGCTCTGGAGCTGCCTCAGCCTTCTGCTTAGAACTTTCCACATCACTCCAGTATCTCTGGGAAAGACTTGACAAAGGATCCATTGGCAAAGCCTGGTGTTGTGCCCCGGGTGAGGTGCCATTCTGATCTCTGCCTTCCCTACTCTCACTACAGAGCAATTCTGTGCTGGGGCAGCAGCTGCAGGAGGAGGCCCGAGAGCTCAGAAGGCTCTTGCAGGAGAGGGTCCTCTCCCAGCAGACCCTTGTGGTAAGTTTGGGGCTTAGGGAGCCTGGGGGATGGTGCTAAAGGTTTGCACAGTGATGCTGTAGGATAAGCAACAGACTCCTAATACCAAGGTCAGCAGTTCAAACCCACTAGCCACTCCTCAGGAGAAAGATGAGGCTATCTGCTCCCATAAAGAGTTACAGCCTCAGAAACCCTATACAGGGTTGCTGTGAGTTGGAATTGACTTGATGGTTGGCGGTTCAAACTCATCAGGCAGCGCTGTGGAAAATAGTCCCAGTGATCTCTTAACATAAAAGATTTATAGCCAAGAAACCCCTACGGAGTAATTCTGTAACACACGGGAGCCAGCATAAATTGAGATCGACTTGATGGTCATGACGTATAGTCATGTTTCGGGGAGAGGAGAGATAGAGGCCAACAAGAGAAACGGGGCTGGGGGGTACCTGAGAGCCTCACCCTCTCACCCATCCCTCCTGCTAACCATTCCTGGTCTGTCTCTGCAGGCAAAGCTCAACCACAGTGTCATAGCCCTGGCATCCTCTGCCCCAGATCTCCAGGTGACAGCTGAGGGAGGGGGACATGTGGGGCGGGAGCTGGTGGGCCTGCTCTCTGCCACCTCAGGAAGCAGGAGGCAGGAATGGAGAGCCTACCAGGCTTGGGGCCCCATCTACTTTGTCCATACTCACTGGAAGTTGGGGGTGGGGTTAGGAAGAGGATGGGGCAGCTAAGGCAATCCTAAGGACCACTGTCGTTGACCTCTGTGTCCTCAGGCCTAGCCCTACCTCCCTAAGGTGATTGTGTTGTGTGTGAGTTAGAGGGGTGGGGTGTAACTGAGCAGGGCCCTGTGTTGAGCTCCTCCCTCCCCCCCAGGTGGAGACATCAGACATCTTGAACAAGGCCACTTACCTGAAAGGGGAACTTCCTGCCTGGGCTACCCGCATCATGAGGAATGTGAGTGGACTTGGTTGGGAAAAGGCAGGAGCTTCCTCAGAGCTGGAGACCACTCAGAGGCTGAGGCACACAGGGTTCCCAGCCCACACTTCTCCTCCAGCCCTCTCCTTTACTGTGGCTCCCCAGAAAGCCATTTGGCCTGTCCTGATAGTGCCAGGAACTGGGGGTGGGGGTGGGGGGGCTGGGTGGGGGTGTAGAAGTTCCATGCTGTTTCCTGGGGCCTCTGTCAGCCCAAGCCTTCTTTCTTCCCTGCAGCAAAGTGAGTGTTTCCTGACTCGGGAGATGGGCTACTTCTCCCAGTACATAGCCTGGGTGAGAGACGAGGTGAGTGGAGACAGACTCCGCCTGTCCTCTGAGCAACTGCAGCCCCTCACCAATCTCCAGAGGCCCTAGCTCTGCCCTCTTCTGCCCCTTGGAACTCCTTGGCAGTGCTCTAAGCCTTCAAGGATGAAACCAGACTCCTAACCCTGGCATTGGAACCCCCTGCTTGCTGGTTAGGCTCTACCTATACAACCTCTGCTGCTGCCCCCTGCGAGGCCTGGGTGTGAGCCAGGCTGCTGTCCTCACCTTGCCCAGGCCCTTCCTCTACTGGCCTCTTGGCCAACCCAGTCCTCAAATTCTGCCTCCTCCTGCAGCCTTTGCTGACCACAGCCTCTGGAAACTGTTTGGGCACACCCACACCAGGCCTGCAGGGAGTCTCACCTAACCCTGACTAAACCTAAGTGTGTCTGTGTGCATGTGTGTGTGTGCATGTGTCTGCATACTAGAACCATCTGTGCACACATGCACACATCCATTGCTCTCTAATGATAATATGACTTAAGGCACAGTGCTGGGCCCCCAGGTTGGTGAATGGATTAAAAGGGCGGGAACTGAGCAATGAGCCTGTCACTCTGTATACCTATATGTCTCTCTGAGTACCCACCTCTTTGTGTCTGGGAACAACTGTGTCCCTGTGAGCATCTCTGAGTGTGGGTGCACACCTGTGGATCTAGGTGCCTCTGCATCATGTATCTGCCTCATCTTGACACTACAGGTGACTCAGCACATTGCCACCTGCCAGCCCCTCTCTGGAGCCCTGGACAATGGCCGTGTGGTCCTGTGTGACTTCATGGTTGACCCCTGGGTGAGTGTCCCAGGCTCAGCAGGGCCTTTTGAGCAGGTTGTGAGGCAAAGCAGGGCCTGTCCTTCCAGGCCTACCCTTAGCCATTCCCTGAGGTCCCCATGCCCCTCATTGAATCTGTGGGGGTAGCTGGGATAAAGGGTGAGGAGTCTCTCCAGTAAGTGTGGGCTGACCCCCTGGCCCTTGTTCCAGAACGCTTTCTGGTTCTGCCTGGCATGGTGCACCTTCTTCTTGATCCCAAGTATCATCTTTGCCATCAAGACTTCCAAATATTTCCGCCCCATCCGGAAACGTCTCAGGTGAGGGGGTGGTCAGGATACCTCAGGGAAGTAGAATCCCAGGACGGAGTCCCTCCAGCTACTGGGCCCCAGCCCCCTGCCACGACCCACTCCTGACTCCTCCCAGGCAGATGATGGGCCTGGCTGAATCTTGAAGAGCTATACATTCTGAGGAGCTCCAGGGTCATAAAGTTCTCCCATATGTCATCCCATATCCTTCTTGCTGCAATGCATTCCCCCCAGGGCATAGCTTCTTGGACCTCTTCCTATCCCTTGGAGGACTTCTCAGGAAGGAAAATCAGGGCTCTGGGCTTTGTCCCTATGTCCAGGGCTGAGGGCCTGTGGCTGGGGCCTCACTCTCTTTCTGCGGATGCCACAGCTCCACCAGCTCTGAGGAGACACAGCTCTTCCACATTCCCCGCGTCACCTCCTTGAAGCTGTGACACCCCAGTGCGTGAGTGGCCATATCTTCATTATTCCTCAGTCCCAGGGAGGGAGACTCTGGGTCCAGGAGGGCAGGATCTGGGTGTTGAGCTGGTCAGACTGACCAAGCTGCTGGACTGTCAGGCCTGAGTCTGACTCTGCCCCCTTCCTCCCCACCTCTTCCTTGTTAATTCACCACAGAGATGTTTGCTGATTGCAAGGTGATGTTCCTGGGGCTACCTGTCTGGAGACAAGAGCTCCTTCCCCTTTGACTCAGCCTGGGTCAGGGGATTTCTGCAGCTCAGACTGGCACCCAGGCCTGGATTGTCCCCTAGCTCTACTTTACCTGGTCCCCTCTCACCTGTTTCCTTTCTACTGCTGACACCCACCTTCCATTCATGCTAAAAAGCACACTTAATTCTGTTGAACTAAGCCAACAGGTTCTTCCAGGTGTCTGCCCCATATCTCCTTTGCTGTAGTGTATCAGCACCAAACAAAACCTGTTTTTTTGCTATCTAGAACCCCCTCCTCAGACCTGTGGGTGGTAGAGACCCAGATCAGCCCAGTTTATTGCCTTCTGCCCCTCCCCTATTCACCCCTAAGCTCCTTGCCTCTTGTCTGTAGCTGACTTTCCTATCTACTCCAACATCATACCTGGCCCATCTCCCGCCCTTGATTTCTCCTCCCAGGGAAGCCATTTCTCCCCTTTGTCCTCTCTTTACCTTTTCCTTATCACTATCTTGCTGGCTTGCAGAAACCCTCCTTCCCAACCCACCTATTCTGGTAAAGCCACCAAGCAGGCAAGGGGCCCACATGGCCCAGGCCTGGACTTGCAGAGGCAATATCATACCCATTCCAGAGACTGGTTACAGTCTCTGCCTTATAGCCCTGACCCTGCATTGCTCCAGGGCCTTGGCCCCAGCTGGCATGAGGAAGCCCTGTCTGAGGTGACCTAGCCTCCATGTCTGCACCATGGGTTAGCAATAGCACCACTGTTCCTCAGAAACTCCCTAGGAAGAGAACTGGGACCTGGGGCCTGAGCCGTAACCCTCCCTCGGCTCCCTGGGACATAGCATCTTCCACAGCTCCACTCAGCTTTTCCTGTATGGACCTGGTGGCCAGAGAAATATATTGCACTATGGCCCTTGCCTCATCTGTCTTGTGCAAGTGACCTGAGTTGCCCTTATTCCATTCCTGTGCCCTCCCTGTGTGCTGGACCCGGAGTTATGAAAACACAGAAGAGGAGAAAGAAAGAGAAGAGAAGATGGACGGACCATCAGATCCATTAAAGTGCTGTCACTTTCCTAAGCCTTGGTCTTGGGTCCTTGAACCAGATCTCTCAGGCATTTAATGAGTGTTTGTCGAGAGGAGAATCCCAAGGCCTCTCCTGACTACAGGCATCCAAGGATTGTCTGAGAAATCAGCAGAAGGGGAGTGGGGCCCACTCTAGGAGCAGATAGTCAGGAACAGGAAGACCTGGGTTCACAGCCTGGCTCTGACACTTTGCTACCTTGAACATGTTACTTAGGTTCCCCAAACCTCAGCTTCTCCATTTATAAAATGGGGAGAATAATCATAACCTTCCCAAAGGGTTGTAAAAATTAAATGTGATAAGGCATGGAAAGTACTAGGCAGGAGCCTGGCACAAAACAAATGCTCAGCAGATGGGAGCTGCTGTTTTTTTGCCATGACTTCTGTAGTTTAGGGGCAGAGTTAGAATCTGGGCAGGTACACGGGAAGAAGGTGGTAGATGACTGTTCTCAAAGGTGGAAAGCCCTTTATGGTGTGGTCGGCTAAGTCTCAGAGCATGTCTATTTTTAATTGCATCTTACAGACCAGAGACAAATTTGCTGCTAGTAATTAGTCCTGGTGTGGCACTGTGGGTTAATGCGCCAGACTGCAAAGCAGTTTGAACTGCAAGGTCAGCGGTTCAAGTTCACCAGCTGCTCCTCAGAAACCCTATACAGGGTTGCTATGGGTTGGAATCGACTCGACGGCATTTCACAACAATTAGGATAAGGCATGTGGTGGTGGTGGTAGTGGTGTCGTGGAGTCAGTTCAGACTCATATAGCAACCTGCATAGGGTTTCCAAGGCTGCAAATCTTTACAGGAACAGAAAGCCTCATCTTTTGGCATTTCCCAGGCTTTATTTTTACTTGATACGCCTCAGCTGATCTGTATAGGGGAAATAGCACCCTGCATTTTAAGAACGCAATTGATGGGATAAAGGAAATTGAAATTAAACAATTAAAATAGTCACTTCTAGTTCTTAATCAAAATCGCCTATCTTTTACATATTTGATCATATTAGGCATATAAAGTTTAATGACTCCCTTATATGGAGTTTTCATAGGTCTGTGTCTAGTGTCTATTGTTTCTCTTGACTTTTGACTTTTGTTACTTTTTTTTTTTTTTTTTTTTGTCTACTCATATACCTGACACTTTTTTATTGAGTACCACACCTTGTACTTGAAAGCATGAAGAAACAATTGAGGCCTAGGGAGAAGTTATGGAGCGTGGTAGCTCTGGCCAGCCACAAGGCCAATGGTTTGAGCCCATCAGCCGCTCTGAGGGAAAAAGATGAGGTTTTCTACTTGCGTAAAGATGTTCAGCCTCAGAAACTCTGAGGGTCACTATGAGTTGGAACAGACTCGATGACACTTAACAACAAGAAGGGTTAGGTTATCTTCCTGAAGAGAATTTATGGTTACTTCTAATAGGTGGCTTGGTTTGCAAGGAAAGTAGGATCTTTTAAATCTACTTTCAGGGACTGAGATGATTTAGATTTGGCTGATCAGCCTCTAGTTCATTCTTATTCTTAAGGTGAAGCTCTCTGGGGTCCCAGCTAAAGGCATGAAAGATTTACCAAGCACTCTGTTTCCTCAGCCTCAGAGATTATTAAAACCTCTGCCCAGCTTATTAGCATTGTTTTGTGGAATCAGCAGAGCCTTCTAAGAAGAAAGTAGTCCCAGATGCCAGGCACATGTTTCTGGGTTCCCTTTTTTCCTTAAATCTTGACCCTGTGATACTTCACTGACTATTTGTCCCCCAGTGCCCTTGGTCAGACTTAAAAAACATTTTGTTTACTTTTTTAAGTTGTCCTCAACTGGGAATTTGGTCCAAATTACCTAGCCCACCATTGCCATAAGCAGTGTTTTTTTTTGTTTTGTTTTGTTTTTTTACCCCTTTGAATTTGGAAAAGGCTGTCACTGTTTTAATCTGGCGTCCAGAGATCTTGGCTCAGCCAATCATACACTTGACGTTTCAAGGAGCTTAGTTTGGAGACCATGGCTGTTGGCTGGTAACCTGGCAACAAGAGTAATCGACAAAGACATAGAAACAGTCACAAAGAAAATGATATTGTGTATTTTCCTGGTTTGGAAATGCTAGAATTCTGCTAATCTCACTGTCTGTATGTAAGGACTTTATCTATATTCACAAAGCCCTTTATGGTCCCAAATCTCATCTGTCATCACAACAGTACTAAAAGGATGGGAATGAGCATCCTTGTTTCATGGTTGAGCAAATGGAAACTCAGAGTTCTATGTGGTTGGTCCAAGGTCATGGAAATTGAAGCCCAGCCAGGCTTGGAATTTCAGTCTCCTGGTCTTAGTGGCCCTGGAACTTCCCACCAGGGTGCACTCCAGTCTCCATTCCCTGTTGCTGTGTGGGAGCCAGGCCTTTGCCTCCACAGAGACTTGATCCAAGTCTTGGTGCTGTCCTTGTAGCAGGAGAGATGATAGATTGGGGACCCTGGGAGTTCTGCCAGATATTCCAACCTGGCCGTCCCAGAATAAAAGTCTCCATGAACCAGGAAGGGCAGCTTTTTGTCAAAGACAGCACATGGGCCAGTGCATCTGAGGTTGGTTGATCAGGGCAGTTCCAGCTGGCGTGGTGCAGACAAAGGGAGAGTCACATGGATGGGAAAAGAAGAGCTTACCTTCGATACCAGAGGGGAAAAACAATGAGAGGCAGCATTTATTTACTGAGCTCTCAACATAAGCTAGAAATTATGCTGCTTGCTTTACATGAATTAACTAAGATAGGCTAACTGCAAAGTTCAAACTCACCTGCCACGCCTCAGAAACCATATATATATATATATATATATATATATATATAGTCGCTATGAATCAGAACTGACTGGTCGATGTTTAACAACAAGTTTTGCTATTCCCTTACTTTACAGTTTAGAAAGCTAAGGCACAGAGACCAACTGCAGCATGAGTAAAAAGGACAGTCCTTACTTAAAAGGAAGAAACTGACAATGATGGCCTTTCAGGCGCTATCTGATTTTCCTGGGATCAGCCTGAACTTCTGTTGTACTGTCTCTCCAGACCTGAATGGCAGGGACTGAACCAGGAGGCTGGAGGCCAGACTGGTCTGCATGTCACCTGTTGCTGGAATGAAGTCCATGGTTCCCAATCCTTCTTTGTACTTCCCTGAATGTGCCACTCCTGGAACAGTTCTGGAGCAAGGGAGGAGGAAGGTGAGGTGCTCTGGACCAGATGACTTTGTTCTGGTCCCTGACCTCTGCCCATATAAAATAAAGAACTTAGGGAAGAGGTGGTCTAAACCCCTACTCACAATAAAAGTACCAAGGTGTGGTGTTGGAGTTAGAGGAGAACTTTGGGGAGGTAAGCTGAGCCCAAGGGAGGGAGTGGGATACCTTCCCTTGACTGCAAGCCAGAAGAGGAAACTTCATGATGTCCCTTGAAGTTTGAGGAATCCAGTGGACTGATGCCTTATCCCCACCTACAAAGTTTGGGGAAGATAAACATACTGGCTGCTTTGATGGTGGAGCTAAGGTAAAAGACTCATTTCCCACGGCCTACATGAGCACCTCTTGTGACAGAGTTGGCATGGAATCTCTAGAAAGCCTCCTGGAGAATGAACAGACCTTGATAGAGAGATTGTGGAGGTGCTCCTTGGTGTTGGGGATTCTGGGCTCCCTGAGGCCTGTGTGAAATACCCTAGTCAAGGGAAACAAGGAACAGTTCCAGATGGAGGCTTACCACAGTTCCTGACCATGCCTGTACTGGGCTGGGGGCAGCTTTGAATTCCCAGCAAGAGAATTAACAATGCTGTGGGCCTGGACTGAGTGAAGCCTGTTTGTGGGGTGTGCAGTGACTGTATTTCTCTACCAAGAAGCATGCTGGGCCTCCCAGGTTTCCACCCAGCCAAGTGACCTGCTTACAGAAGAGATTTAAAGGGCCAGTGGAAGACAGAAATGAGGTGCTTTCTGATTCCACAAGCTGTGCTGGGTCAACATCATGGTGACATTTGTCAAATGCTGTGGCATTCAGAGGAGGGCTTCTTTTGTTGAACTCTGGTGAAGAAAGGGTTTAGCAAGTGTGGTGAGGTCCACAGTTAGGGTGAGCAGCCCAAACCCTAAGACTGTCAGAAAACTTGCTCTCTTGTGGGCCTGCGGCCAGGGGTGGGCAGAGCCAAGACCCAACCAAAGAAAGGGCCTGCGATGTCTGAGAGTAAAGGGCAATTAACAAAAAAAACCCAAAACACTAAGTCAATTCCTACTCATGGCGACCCCCACGTGTGTCAGAGTAGACCTGTGCTAATAGGTTTTCCAGTGACTAATTTTTCATAAGTAGATCAGTAGGCCTGTCTTCCCACCTGCCTCTGGGGCACTCAAACCTTTAACCTTTTGGTTTAGCAGCTGGGCATATTAACTGTTTGCAACACTCAGGGTCTCGGTTAATTTCAGTGACTTACCACTGGCTCCTGTCATGTACTCACTCAAATCTTGTCACATTAAGAAACTCAACCCGAATTCAGACTCCAAACGATCCCTTCCTTAACCACCCTCCCTCCTCTTCCTCTGGCCACCCCCTCAGCCCCGTGGAAGGAAAACCACAGCTGAAACCCGTCAGACTGAAATGCTCATGGCTGACAATGCAGGTTCTCCCGCAGCCTTTCCTAACCTTTTTTGGGTCTGATACTCTGCCAGCAAATTCTTGGAAAATGTAAGATTCTCCTGAGAAAATTGGCGGATGCTTATGTGCCCACGACACATCTATTATCTGGGTCTGCATTCCCTACCTACCTAGTGGACAACCCTCTGAGAGCAGCTGAGGAGTGAAGGGTGCATGGATGGGGCAGGGCTTACACTCCTCAAATCTCTGTTTTGGGTGGCTGCTGCAGTGGGAGGTCTCCCTGAGCCTGGGAGGGGAGGGCAGTTGTCCTAAGCCTGTTGTGTCCCAGCTTGTTAACTCCTAAAAAGGAATCCCTTAATAGTGGAATTTCCGAAAGTGTGCCAAGTGGCGGGGTGCAAGATTTCCTATGCACCAAGAGGGTGGTGCCAGTTCGGGGGTGGCCTTCTCTAATCCTACCTCTTTGAACCATCCCTATGAAGAAGGATGGGCCTGTCTTGGACAGTGTGATCAGCTTGTTTCTTTGTTGTTGTTGTTGGTTTCTGTCCATTTGGCTCTGACTCATGGTGGCTTTATGTATTGCTGTTAAGTGCCATCAAGTCGCTTCTGACCCCTAGCAACCCTGTCTAGGGTGTTGTGTGGTCCTGAACTACCCTTCCCGTTGTTGGGATGTTGGAGCCCATTGCTGCAGCCACGGTGTCAATCCATTACCTGGAGAGTTCCCTCATTTTCCCCGACCCTCTGCTTTACCAAACATGATACTCTTCCAAGTATGTTTCTTAATTACCTGTGTATGTTTGAGCTGGATGTATGGAACCAGGACATGTAACTGGTTGGAGATAGCTCTCCCTCACAGTTCTAACTTTGGAAAGAAAGGATTAGGCTGTGTCCTGACTTTGTCACTTTTAAACCTGTGACCTCAAGAAAATCCTTTCACTTTTTTGGATCTCATTGGCATCATGTATAAACACTGTCTTAGGAGCTCTGGTAGCATAGTGGGTTATGAGTTGGGCTGCTAGCCACAAGGTTAGCAGTTCAAATCTACCAGGTGCTCCACAGGAGAAAGATGAGACTTTCTGCTCATCAAAGATTTACAACCTTACGTGGTCACTATGAGTCAGAACAGACTCCACGACACACAACCACCACCACCAGTATTGTTGTTAACTACCACCATAGACATTGTCTATCCACAACTTCCTCCCAAGGCCACTATGAGCACTCAATGTCTGACAAGGCTCTAGCTGTGGGACCTTGCTTGGCTGAAATTGCTGGGCTGACCCCACTGGTAAAAAACCAGCTGAAGGTGTGCCACCTCCCCAGCTGACCCCCTTCTCTTCATGGCCAATGAGAAGTTTGGATTCTTCTGCTAATGCCTGCAAGAGAGGCTTTCCAGAGTGCAGTGGGCTGGGAGCTCAGGCTCTCCTAAGCCAGTTCCTGTCCTGGGTGTCCAGCTGGAATAAACACCTGGCTTCCTGTCTCTTCCTCTGCCTTAGTGGGCCAACAACTCCAGGCTGGATCTGAAAATTGGAGCTGATTGAAGAAAAAGAGGGGGAGTGGGCATGTGTGTGCACTTGTTCTTGGGCTCACGATGTGGGGAAGGAGTGTCACAGGGCTCTGGCACAGTCTGGTTCCTCAGGGCACTGCAAAGGGAAACTTGGCGAAGGTTGCAGGGCACCTGGCTCCTGGGTGGTTTCCTTTGGGGCTGAGCAAATGCCCAGGAGCCTGCCATCCAAGGTGCAACAATCTTCCTCTACCGCCCCTGCAGGAGATCAGTGGTCCTTCAGTTGTACAGAATGCCATCTGGCATCTAGAGACCCAGGTGGGGATCAACTCTGACTCACAGGAGACCTGAGTGCTACTTGCATAATGTGGCCCCTGGTGGGCCCTCTTTGGGATATGAGCCATCATCTGTGAGGTCATTAGGGAGTCGTGCACCCAGAGTAAGTTCAACAGTGGGCAGAGGGCAGCCTGAATGTCAGCCAGCAGGAGGGGCACAGAGGAGACCCTTGGCACTTTCTGTGGCCTTAGTTGCCCATTCAGCTCTCAATGGCTTCCAACTGTCCTCAGGGACCCTCAGAGCAAGGTGGTTGGAGGGTTGTTCCACCTCTGTGTCTTGTAAGGCAGGAGAGATAGTAAGGAGTAGGGGAGGAGATAGATGGCTTATTCTGCAAAATGTCCCTAAGAGGCTCTTCAGGCTGGATTAGTGCCCATGACCACCCCTGTTGGGGCAGGAACATAAGCCCTGGAGCCCCCTGAGACCCCTTTCCCTCCCTCAGGAGGTAACCAAAATGAGAGAAAAGAGTGTGTGTGTATGTGCACATGCACAGGGTGGGGTGAGGAGCTGTGTTTAGAGACAGAGGCATAGAGAAAGGCACCCAGTGACAGGACAAGCAGGAGAGTGGGAAAGCTAGACAGAGACTGACAGGTGAAGAGGTTAGAGCTGGGAACTGCGCACACAGAAATTGGGGACATAGAGCCTGAGAGAGGGGCTGGAAAAATGGCAGTAAATATGTGTGTGTGTGTGTGTGTGTGTGTGTGCATGAGAGAAAGAAAGAGAAGAAGAAGGATGAGAGAGGGAAAGAGAAAGGGAGGGAAGAGGTGCAGAGAAAGAGGGACATGAGAGGGGGAGGTTGGAAAAGAGAGAAAGATCAGAGGAGGTGTGGGGGAGAGACAGCTGAGAGAAAGAGAAGAAGATGGAGAAAGAGAGAGACGGAGGGAGAGGAGGCCGAGGAGATGGAGGTGGAGGGGTGGAGCAGTTAGAAGCAGGCAGGCTGGGAAGCAGGGAGGGATGGGCAGGGGGCGGGCGAGAAGCTGCCAGTGACAATTACGTCTGGGTCCAAGCAAACATGAGGCAGCTGCCAGCCGGCAGTCCCGTTCTCCTCTTCTGGCTGCGAGGGGGGAGGCCGGCAACAGTTTCCTTCAGCGCCCAGGATGCAGCGAGCCAAGGTAGGCACTAGCAGTGGGGTATGGAGTTGGGGTTTCTGGAGGTTGCACCACTGGATATAGGGAGCCCTGTTGTGCCTCCTTCTTAGACTCCATCCCCTGATGTCCCCATAGAGTTGTTTTTGGGAGAGGGAGTGTTGGCTGTCCTGCCTGGAGGCTAGACTTCAGGGTCTCCTGTGGATGGGAGAGACTTCAGGTGTTTATGTAACGGAAGCTGGACACAGGACATGCTTGGGATCAGCCCCATGCCTGGCCCTGCTCAGTTAATCCCTGAAGCACATGACAGAGCACTGACCAGAGCCTGGGTCCCGCAGCCTTTAGAGTCAGGAGAGGCATGAATGTGGGGAAAAGGATGTCTTATACTTGAAGGCTGGTGAATGAAGACATCATTTAATGCATCAGTCAAGTAATGAATGAAAGCTCATGTCTAAAAGGGCTCAGACAGGGACCATTAACATACTAATACCCCCCTCTCTGGGACTATTGGGAGGCTGGGGAAAGATCATGTAAAGAAACACCTGACACAGAGTAAGAACTCAATAAATAAAGGAAGGGGTGGGGAAGAATAGGAAGATTAATGAAATGAGGATGAATGAGGGAGAGGAAACTTTACCAGGACAGGGTTAAATATGTTCTGTGAGCTTCCCGCAGGCTTGGGACAGTCCTGCTTTGGAAGCAAGAAGAGGGCACCAGAAGTAGGTCTATCTGGTCAAGGACCGTTGTTAAACAGTGATTAAACAAGGTTGCCAGCATTTCTTCCTCTTGTAGAAGTCTGGTGGTGGTGATGGTAGTGGAGGCTGTGTGCCACCTTGGTTCTGACACGTAGCCACCTTGTATAGGCTCTCCAAGGCTGTAAATCTGTACAGGAGTAGAAAGCCTCATCTTTCTCCCATGGAATGACTAGTAGATTCGAACTACTGACCTGGCCGTTAGCAGCTCAGCTCGGCATCCACTACACTACCAAGGCTCCTTTGCAGGAGTCTGGAGGGAGGCAAAAGAGAGCTGGCTTGGAGGCTTCGTGGGCAGCAGGCTCTTGGACTTCATCTCTTGCCTTTACAATCCTAGCATTGGCTCTCATCCAAGAAGCTACTGCAAAGTTCAGCATTCTACAGGAGTTCCGGCTAGCCCATGCAGGCGGCAGGAAAGGAGGAAAGGCAAATTAGGGTATTCTGAGTTAAGTGGAGTCCCTGAGTGGTGTTAAGTGGCTAAGTGCTCAGCGACTAATGAAAATTTTGGCAGTTTGAACCCACCCAGAGACGCCACAGAAGAAAGTCCTGGTGATCTGCTTCCTAAAGATCACAGTCATTGAAAGCCCTGTGTAGCAATTCTACTCTGAACACCTGGAATCCCCATCATTTGGAATAGAATTGATGGTAACTGGTTTGGGGATTTTGTTTGATTGGTTTGGTTTTTGTGAGTGAGGAAGAATGGATACTGGGTTGGCATCTTACAGGCTCTGCCCTGGACAGGATGGGTTCCTACCTCTATTTTCCCATGAGGGAGGACAAACAACCCAGAGCAGGCTGTGGCTGCAATCAAGCTGCTCAAAGACTCTACCCCAGAGCACAGGATAACCCTTCCCTGGCTGGTCCATCCTCCAGGGGTTCCAGGAGGACTGACAGAGAGAGGTAAAGGCTTGAAAGCCCTTTGGATGTACTAACAGGGGGCATTGAAAAGGTGCTTTCTCTCCTCTTATCTTAGGTCCCTACAGGCAGGCAGGCCGAGGCTGAGAGAAACTCACCCACAGTTAGGTGCTTACTGCACATGGTCCTGTGTGCACAGGTCACATGTGCTTGTCCATCTGAGCGTCCATCTGCATCACCATAGAAACCTGTGTTCACAAGCTGACCTGCATGTACACTGAGAGGTATCCATACAAATGTGCCCACAGCCAGCTCTCTGCCCACCAGACAGAATGACCATTCTCCTTCCCTTGCTTGTCCTCTGCTGGCTCTAACTGCCAGAAGGTCACCTTTAGAAGCTGGCCATTCCTGTCCCTCCTAAATGGACAGAGGGAACGACTCAAGTCCTGCAAGTATATCTGGGCCTTCCTTGGCCACTGTGACCCACCTTACTCTTCTCTGCCCTCCACCAGGTGATACAAGGGACCACTGAGTCTCAAGGCATTTGATTCTTGCCCCGTGGCTGATCTGATCAGAGGTGGGAACAGGTCCCATATTTCCTGGTGCTGGACTACATAGGGCCAGTGGTCCTAGTGGGAAGCCACTGAGGGGCTGGGGATTGTGAAAACAAACAAAAAACAAGCTTCCTGTTTAGTGGCCTCAGGGGCCAGAGCACAGGGTGGCTGCCCCCACTAACACCTCATTCATGTAAAAACACCTGGACCTTCTTCACACACTTCCCAGGCCATCACTAACCTGACAGCATCCCATTGTCATGACTCCAGAGAGCGGGAAGGTAGCCGTTTCTCAGGCCCAGCAGCTGACCCGGCAAATGCAAGAGGGTGTGAGGAGAAAGGAGCGGCCCAGACAGCAGGTTCTGCGCTCATGGTTGGGTTGGGGGAGGGAGGGAGAGTCTGTCTTTGCTGCCCATCCTGCCCACCAGTAACCTCTTCCAGCCTCCTGATGGGGAAGGGACTTTAATTTGCTCTTCTATTTTCAAAGATGGTAACCAGGGCCCAGGGCTGGGATGGGAGAGGAAAGTGGCCCTGCTTCTGGTCTCCAGGTGGACTCTGGGAGAGGACTGATAGAAAGAGGTAAGGGCTTGAAAGCCCTTTGACTACAGTGACAGGGCACATTGATGCAGGCCTGTTGGGGATACCAGGACACTCCAAGCACAGGACTGGGGCCTCCACTTGGATTATCTCTCTGAGTCCTCATGGCTACCCATGAACTATTGTTCCCACTTTACAGATGAGGAAACTGAGGCCTGCTCTAGGCTGCAGCTGGGATTTGAACCCCGTCCTGTCATACCCCAAAGCTCTGTTCCCTGGGGCTGGAGGCTCTGGGAGAAGACTACAGGGAGAGGGTCATAAATTCAAGTAGGCAGCTACAGAGGGGCCACATCCCCTCACACCAGGCTCCCATGGGCTTGCAGCCTCCAAACCTTCTAGAGGGCACATAACCCAGGCCCCTTGGGTTAGCTATGTGACTTGAAACTACACAGCCCCTCTCTGGGCCACAGATTCCAGAGCTGTAAAGGAAAAGACATCAATGTCTTAAATTCAGAGCCTCTTTTCTAATCAGAATCTTCCTCAAGAGTGGGGAGCTGCTTTGCTGGATCAGGGCTGGGGCTTGAAGCCCATTGAGTGAGTAAACCCATCTATGCAACTCCCAGGAGCAGGTGCAAGGCCTCTGAGTTTCCAAGGCAAAGAAAGAAAGGGCAGAGAAGTTGGCAAATTTCCATTTTCTGGCCACAGACCCAGGGCAGAAAGGAGACTGAGGGCGGGGGAGGGCATGGTGAGTCATCAGAGCCCTCCCCCGTCAGCGCTCATCCCCAGCTGACTGATGTTTCCCTAGAACAGGTGCATCTGTCAGCTGTGATCAGCCCACGGCCCAGCACACCACAGAGCAGCCATGTGACAGGGAGAAAACCAAGGGGACCTGCGGGTGCCAGCGTTGGGGTGGGATGGGGGCTGGGGGTAACTGCCTGCACTGAGCTAAAGCAGAACAACTCAGAAGGGGGCCTGGCCTCCCTGCTTTGATCCGTAGGGGGGTCTCTGCCCCACCTGCCCTCTCTCAGACTGGGCTCTACTTCTGGGCAACTGCTGGTCTTGTCTTCACTGGCCTGGCCACCAGCTGTGCCCATTACCCTCAGTCCTGTATCACATCATCACATCCAGCACCTGGGCAGACCTCCTGTGCTGTGGCTGCTACAACCTGTGCCCAGCATGTCCTGCTCTGAGATCATTTCACCAGGTGGAGGCACTCTGAGCAATGACCTTGAGGACCCAAGTTCTAGCCCCAACTCTGTCCTGTTAATTGTGAGCTTGGGAGGGTCTGTCCCTTCTCTGGTCCACAGACTCTCCAATTGGGTCAAAGATATGTTTGCAGCCTCTTCCAGAACTCCACCTGGGCTCAGGGCCCTATGCTGACCTGGTGGGGGGCTGGGTAGCTGAGAACCAAGGGTGAACTACCACCCAAAGTGCCACAATGCAGATCTCCCTGTAAGCACCCCACACACATGTGCCTGCTGGCCTGTCGCAGTCCTGAACCCTGCCATTTGGTATTGAAGGACGCTGGCCAGTAGAGGGCAGTGGCTTGGGGAGGAGGCCACTGTACCTCCAGGCCATCAGGGGCTTTGCCTCAGTTGGACACCCTCCCCACCCCCCACCCCCGGCCCCTTTCATGTATTAGCTGAGTGTCCTCAGGTTAGCTCCTAGTACCCTGTTGTTATTGTTGTTGTTAAGTGTTGTTGAATCGGTTCCAACTCATAGCAACCCTGTAAAGGCTTTCCAAGGATTGACTGGTGGTTCAAACTGACCTTGTGGTCACTTAGCTCTCAGACAACTGAGCCCCTATACTAACCCATGAGCCCTGTCCCTTGCACGTAGCAAGAGCTCAGTATAGACTGGGAGTTTTAATATTATTATTTTCTGATTACCAAGTAGTGCTGGGAATAGGCACCTAGACAAGATGTGTGCCATGAGCATCTGGAGTAGTCAGTCTGGGGTGAGTGTGAGGTCCTTGTTCTAAGGGGGAGGTGCTCAGGCCCCTGTGTGGGCAGGTTCACAAGGACAAACTCAGTCTCTCTGGCAAGGCTAGCTCCCTGGCCTGCAGCTGTCAAGGGAAGGTGCAAAAATGAGACTCCCTCAAGCCTCCCCATCCCAAATCCTTGGGGCCTGCACAACGCGACGCCCACCACTGCTTCCTGCCATCTGTCCCTAGTGATGGAAATAGAGAAAGTGACGCTGGGCGTGGGTGATCAGAGAGCCAGCCCACACGCCACAGCCTTACCTCTGAGTCCTGGGGAGGGCTGCAGAGGCGAGGCAGTCCCACACCTGAGTCCCTGGGTGTCCCCAACCATCTGAACACCTGGAGGAA